TGCCCCCCCCCTCCCCTTCCCGGGCTATCAGTGCCTGTCTCCCCCCCGCCCCGCCGGTCACCAGCTCCCTGTGTCCGCTATGTCACCGGTCCCCTGGACTACTGACCCCCTCCCGCTCAGGCCACTAGCCTATTAGGCCACCATCTCCGGTGCCTATTGGCCTCCAGACCACCATTCCCAGCCCACCAGCGAGGCAGAGCAGAGACCAAGCCCCTCCGAGGTGCCAGCACCTGTGGGACCAACAGGGCTGGGAGGGTGACATAGTTTTAATGGGGCTGGGGCAATGCAGAGCTATGGGGACTAGCCAAGAGCCACCGTCCCCAGGGCCACGAAGGCGTCCCCAGGCTGTGGCAATGCCTGCAGGCTGGCACAGGAGCCCTCCTGCATCCCCGGGAGCAAGGAGGAGGAAGGCAAGGAGGAGCCAAGGGCTCCGGCATGGTGCCTGGTGGCCTCAGGGGACCGCGGGGCAGGCGACGCCGGTGCCCCTGAGGGCGCAGGTGCCAGAGGGCACCTTGTGCAGGTACTGCTGGTGCCGGTCCTCGGCATAGAAGAAGTCTCCGGCCGGCTCGATGGCCGTGGTGATGGTCCCAAGGCGCCGCTTGCTCAGCTCCTAGGAATGGGCAAGGGATGGGACAACCTGGACCCCGGCTCCCCCCTCGGGGTGACACTGGGCTGCAAGGGGGCTGTCACCTTGTCCCTCCCAGCGCCCACCCCATCCTCCATCCAGCACCTCCACGAGGTTCCTCTCACCCGCTCCCCTTCCCCAGAAAACAGCCCCAACAGGGGTCCCGCTGTCCCCAGGTGGGTCCCCGTCCCCCGCTACCTCCTGGTAAGCTGCCCGGCTCCGCAGAGCTGCTTCGTGCTGCTCGGGGCCCAGGGTGAAGATGACAGAGCGGTACTGGGTGCCCACGTCCTCCTGCTGCCTCATGCCTGGCGGGGAAGCACCCGGGATGGGTTATCCCAAGCCTGAGCCCATGGGAGGCTGCAGCCACCCGTGGGCGCATGGGGAAACAGAGGCACGGGTGGCCCCAAGGGCAGGAGCTGCCCCTTGGTGGGTGCAGCCGGGGCCTCATCCTGCCTCGGCTCTGCCCCCAGCTCCCTG